ACAAATATCAGTGTGTATATATATTATATGTAAATATATAAAATTTTTGTGGCATGTGGGTAATTTTCTTAAAACATTTTCAACACAGCACTTTGAAGGGTTTTTATTCGCAAAATTTAATTTTTGAACCGCTAAATATTTAAATAATATTTATATCATATTAAAATTAGACATAGATTTTTGTCAAATATGTTGATGTTTAAAATGACTACCGAAGCTTGGATCGAAATCATTATTGCGATCACTGTGAATTTAAAATATTATATTTGCTAGATATTATTGCAACATAAATAACATTCATTTTTAAATAATAAGAAGATTTGCATGCGTACCACTCAATTCTTATGTATTCATATGTCTAATGCCCACCCTTCAATTTTCACACGCTCTAGTACACGAAAAATTATTCCATCAGAACACCGGACGCCAGAGTCCAATGGCCCGACCCCTCTCAAAAACAAAAAAATATTACATCAAGACTCTGTATGCATAGCTGCTTGCGAGTCCAATCTCGCGCTGACACGTAAAAGATCGAAAATATGTGACCAGACCCGACCGATACAATATAGGAATATTTCATTAAATAGAATTTTTTCTCGCGTTATTCTAAATATTTTCCGCATTATTCATGTGTTATTGGTGTGTTATTGAGAGTTTAGAAACATTCTATTGTGTTATTCATGTGTTATTTAATGTGTTATTCAATCCGTGTTATAAGAATGTTCTCGCGCGTTATTTTGAATATTTTTCGCATTATTCATGTGTTATTTAATATATTATTCATGTGTTATTGGTGTGTTGTTGAGGGTTTAGGAATATTCTCTCGTGTTATTCATGAGTTTTAATGTGTTATTCTTAAAATCACCTCAGTAACACACAAATAACAAATGAATAACACGGAAAATATCAGAATAACACGGAGAATATTCCTATAACACATTTTCATTTTCTTTTTTTCTTTTTTTATGTAGATGAGTCCGGTCTTCCAGGTGTCAGCGTGAGATTGGACTCCACAAACAGCTCTGCATGCAGAGTCCTGATGTAATATTTTTTCCTAAAAAACCAACCTAATCAATATAACAGTGGGGGCCACTTACCGCGTGGCAAGTGTCCACTACAATCTAGACACAAATTTGTATCATGTGTCCTAATTGAATAAGTGCTTCTCGTATACACACACAGACACACACAAAAGGATCAATAATGCATTAGTTAAAAATTACTAAAAAAAAGCTGTAACAGAAGGAGATCACAAAAACCAAGCTCTAACAAAAGGAAAATCCAAACAATCGCCATGACACAACTTAGCGAGCTCTGAATGATCCAATTAGGGAATCTGTAGCAGCATCTCTGGCTTCTCTTAAAGTAAAAGACCAATAAATGTTAAATAAAGTCAGAAGCATTGAAATCCTTTTCCAAAGTACCGGATTATACCAAGGAACAACTAATGTATCAAGACAGATTTTGAAAATTGACAAAGGATTCAGTTTCAATTAGCAAATATGTGAAGATTATGTATTTTGTGTGAGTAATGAGTCTAAGTTAATCCATGATATTTACTTGCTTAGTTGACTTTGAGCTTTCAAGATGACGTAGATGAAGATGGGTGAATGTACTTGATATGTCATTAACAAATTTTCATCATCCGATATGAATCCCATGGCGAGGCATCTCGACATAGTCTTTTAAGCATGAAATGTTCAAACTTCAATTAAACATAATCTCAAACTCTAATTTTAACAAACATACAATCAAAGTGACTTGACTTGACAAGACAGACCGGATGACAAAAAAAGTTGGTCTAATCCGAGTCAAATCAATCCCGGATTAATCTGTTAAGCCGCCTTTGGAAGTTTTCAAAGCATAATTGGAAGGACAAATGAATTCCAAATATGACATTCATAGAAAGGTCTCTCCCATACTCTATAAATAGAGTTCTGCCTCACTCTTGAGAATAGACCTAGACCTTGATCTAGAGGAATACTAAAGCTTGGAGGAGTTGAACCTCTGAGTTCTACATCAATAGTTCAATGAACAACGTTTGATCCTGCAAGTGCCGACCATCGTCAACCACTGCTCACTGACTATCGTTGACCATCGTCGGTCATCACCTGCTCCTTGCAGTGAAATTTCTTCTAGAGTCACAATGTCTATTATAGAATCTTAGCGTACGTTGTGGAACAATAAAGCAGCTGCGGAACAATACATCGTCCAATACATCGTGCAATAATGCACCTCAAAGACAATTTATTGAAGTTCCAACAATTGTACCCCACTGTAATTACTTCTGGTTATTACACAACAAATAATGTATCTTGAAAAACTGCATCGTCCTTTCCCACCTGTTAGACAATGACCTATGCGTGCAATTAACAATTCATAGTAGATTATTCTGACTAAGTTAAATCTCATATGACATGATTCTGTATTGGATTTTAGTGCAATGCTAAGACAATAATAACTAAAATTCCAGCACACATCAATCCTAAAAACACATTTCAAGACATTTTAGTTGTTGTAGAGTTTACCTCATTTAATTAGTGGCTTACTATGTCATAGTTATTTTAGCCTCACCATTTATTTACTAAAACTTATTTATGGCCACTATCAAAATTTGATTCGGAATGCCTATCAAATTGGGAATTGACAGCGAATTATAAAGTGCACATAAATTATGACGAAATGAACTTTTGTATCTAATAATAACAAAGTTAAGGAGCTTATTATAAATTTGCTATTAACGCAGGTAGTGTAACTCCACCCACCTTCACCCGGCGGAAAGCTATATAAAACGAATGTTGCGCCCTGAAGTCTGAACCCTATGACGGGTCCGCCCCTCGTTCCCCGCAAGACCAGTAGCTCGAGGTCCTGCAAAATATCCTCCAAGGGCTGAGAGAGAGGCAGGCGTCGCCAGCCCTTCAATCATTGCCTAAATTTGGAAACCTTTGCCTTCTATCGACCCCAGTTTCCTCCACAATCCAAATCCCGGAGCGGATCCTTCTTTTTTGGCTGACGTCGCCAGCCCTTCAATCATTGCCTAAATTTGGAAACCTTTGCCTTCTATCGACCCCAGTTTCCTCCACAATCCAAATCCCGGAGCGGATCCTTCTTTTTTGCCGGAAGTTCTCAGGGCGAAAAAAAAGGAAGCCAACGTCAAATTAACCTCTGATTCTTGAGCGGAGAAGTCTAGGGTTTGGTGCGGAGCTATATCCTTTTCGGCATGCCGTGGTGCGTCGATTGACGGTGGAATTTTCGGAGGATCGAGAGGAGGTAGTGATGTATAGGGATCGAGGATTGGGAGGAGGCATGAACGCGGCCAAGGCTGAAATTGGCAGCCTTGATCGGAAACGGATCAACGACGCGCTAGACAAGCACCTGGAGAAATCTTCGCCGTCGACATCTCGGGGGATTAACGGCAAAAAGAAGGAGCGGCTATCGGTGGCCTCGACTTCAGCTGGGAAGCATCATGATCACCCCGGCGGCCTCACCAAAAACAAATGCTCCGATGGTGAGCCTTTTTTTTTTATTTTTTTTCATATCCGGTGTTGTTTTGATCTCCACCTTTTTTTTCTGGCTACTCCTGATACGTTTGTATGTGGCTGTGAAAAAAGCTTTTCATTATTATAGAACGATTTTCCGTTCTTTGTTGCTTCATCGCATGCACAAACTACTGTTATTTTGCTTGCTTACACTTGTTTTTGTCCCCTTTAAATTTAACATTTTTCAGAAGAATCCGATAGCGAAGAATCTGATGTTAGCGGTTCGGATGGAGATGACACTTCATGGATTGCATGGTTCTGTAGCCTGAAAGGCAACGAATTCTTCTGTGAAGTGGATGATGAATATATACAAGATGATTTCAACCTCTGCGGGTTAAGCAGCCAAGTCCCATATTATGATTACGCCCTTGATCTGATTTTGGATGTTGAATCTTCTCATGGTGAGAATGTAAATTTGTTTTCAAAATTAATTTCTTATTACTGGTGTGCTTCCTTTAAATTAATGTTCATGCCTTCAAAGTGCTAGATGAACATTGATTTGTCATAAATGTACAGAATATTTACATGATTGCACCAAATTACATGTGGTATTTCTTGAAGTAATGGAATGTTCTCTTAAGAAAAATGTTCATAAGAATTGGCTTTGGGTGTGTTAAGTAACATAATTAATATTGAGGATTTACATTTTTAAGTTTCAATGGAGGAACTTATTGCAGCACTTTTATGCAGTGTAATGTTCATCATAATCCTTCTCTTCTATTTCCTCCTCCTCATCAATAGCCTCAATACAATTACTTGTGGTAGTCTTATGGATCATCCATCGCTATTCATTCCTATACATGGTTTGTTAAATTTATTCCATACAAAAATTTTCTCAACTTTTAGCCTTGCTACCTTTGGGTTATCTTTTCCCTTTTTATTCATTCTATATCTACACTAATGAGCATGGCTTTATGTTTTATTTTTCATGCCCAAACCACCAGTCTTTTTTCCACAACTTTTCACAATAGGTTTTACTCTTATTGTCTTTTTATTAACTATTTCTCACTCAATTCTACCCAATATTTACACACATCAATTTTAGCATTTTTATATTTGCCACACTCAACTTGGTTAAGAATAGTTTATTTCTTTCTAAATACTTGGATCCATACATCACAGTCAAATCTAACTAAAATTTATAAATTTACCCATAGCTTTTATTTTTTAAATTCTCTTATCACATTTTACTCTCTGTACATTTGTCCATCTTGGCGATCCAACCTAAACTCAAATGTTATACCTCATAGATTTCTCCATTTTTACAAGGAACTTATTAAAGAAGGAGATCCAAATGTTGTTATAGATATAAATAATGTGACCTATCTGTGAGTTAGGTTTCAACATTGCTGATTCAAAAAGTGATCATAACATAATATAAATGGGGGTCAGTAACATGGTTGAGTTGATTACTAGATCTTTTTATCGACCCCAACTTGCACAAAATCTATTGGATGAAACATGAAACATTGGTTTCATTGTATTTTGATCATAAACAACTATATTATTCTATCAGATGTTTAAAAACATTTAAAATATAATTGCATGAATAATAGTTCATATGCATTATGCATTTAAGACAATTCATCAACCCACATTGCCTCCACCACTTATCGAGTCCTTTTCATATTATTTTTTAATCTCATCGTCTTATTAAAATGTCCCAAATTTACATTATTTGATTGGATTTCTTATATTGCTTGATACCCAATTTTCATGTCTAATGCTTCATGAGCATCTTATAATGACTTTTCACCCTTTTCTTACACATTTAAGTGATATAAGTGATTGGGAACCAACAATATTTTATGCTTATCTCTCTTAAATCTTAAATCAACTTGATGCAATATGTTAATGCAGCACTAATTCAGGTGGGATACAATTTCAATAGTGTTAGCAAAGGCACTCGCTTAGGCACCTGTGTGAGGTGAGGTGGATGAGGCAAGACAAGGTTGTAATGGCAAGCATCATTACTTGAAACATGAAAATATGCTAAATGCATTACTACAAATCAAATTTATATAACTCAACCCTCATTGATGTTTCAGTTTCTTTAATTATCACGTTTTAAAAAGTCACGAAGAGCTCCTTTTTAGGAATCTTATTGATTTATTGCATTTTTTTGCTTGTTCGATGGAACAAGCGATAAGCTTTTGTTATACACTTGAGTATCATTGCTAAGGGGTTGCTTTGGTGAGCGCCTTGGTGTAAGGTGCTACGTGATGAGGTGTTCACCTTTTTAATGAATTTTTTAACTGTTATTTAAAAGCATACATAACCATAATATGTGGAAAAGGATTCAAGTAGCCGGCCCCATGTTGTGGGATTAAGGCTTTTTTGTTGTTTTTGTTGTTGTAAAAGTATACATAACCATAATATGTGAATCAGAATCTATGTTAAAATAATAAATTTGATAAAATATTTAGGAACTCTAAAAGTCTCTTCTAGATAAATATTCTATCATAAAAAAAAATACATGATATAGTTTTTGTGAAGTAAAATGAAGCTCTTAAGCTTGTTATGAGATGTCAAATGTCATTGATCAAATTTTTCTTGATGACATTGATGATTGTAATGTGTGATTTATCGGAGATTTGAGTGCTAATTTTTCAACTGTTGAAGATATATTAGCGTTTGATTATAAAAATTTTGCATGGGTTGGGATGTAGAAATAGAATAAGGATTTAGTGGAAAAAACAATGCTTATTAAGAACACCAGTGAAATTATTGTGAGGGCATCACCTTTAACAGCACTTATTTTATAGTAGTAATATTATAGTGAGCTCATGAAAGGGTTTTCAAATCTAGTGAAATAATTTAAAATGTTATTTCAAAAGGCATATTGATATTGCTTGTCTAGATTGCTCCTAAGATGATCATGGTTTTCTTAGAAGTGGTCTTGATTTTAACCTGTATTCTTGATTTATAACGGTGTAATTCCCAATTATTAATTATTCCATTTGTATATAATAAGGAACCCTCGATTAAGGAGGTCACTTAGGCTCAATTATTTAGGCTTGAATATGATTAAGGGGTGAATGGTTACAGTAATGAAGACAAACCCGATCATGATCTTGTGGTTTGTAATCTTGCTGCATCAACAAATCCAATCCATCACTGTAGGACTTCGAGCCATAACAACCAAGAAGTCTGTTTAACAGTTGTTGGTTGCATTTTCTCAGGTTTATTGGGTAGACAAGGGTGGCTGTTTGTGTGAAAGGCGTCATTCATGATTGAATTTTACTTAATTACTAGAAGAGGGCTTATGGTATCAACAGGAAAAGTTAAGAACGAGATTGTACCATCCCATTTTATTAAAATGAATCATTGGTCTATTATCCTTCCGATTTTCAAGAATACTAATATTATACTAGTGTAATATGTTTTCTAAATCCTACTAGATGAATAGCTTAGCTTCACTAACCTCTTCATCTGATAGTGAGCAAATGTATTTTTTATTATGAACATGAAATTTACTAGCAAGTACACCAGAGAATTGTTAAAATAAATTGACAATCCATTTTCAGATGGCTTTATAAGTTGAAACTTCACAAAGACTTAAGAATAAGAATGTTTCATTATAATTTAAAGGTACATGCATTCCTTAGCTTTGCTCGACTATCATTTATCAGCATGATTTTTTGTAATTTATTAGTTAAATAAAAACCTCAATGAGAAATCATGCATCATTCAAATTTTAATGTAACAAACATCTAAATTATTAGAAAAACTCCATTGAGAAGAACTGCACAATATTTTTGTTTATCTTGTGATATTATACCGAATAGGTGATTGAGTAGTTTGACCAAGAGGAACGCTTACATTGATGAAATGCATTGAGAAATACTAAAAGCTGCACATGAAAATGAGTTTTTGGAGGCTAACTTGTATTGTGATTTCTCCGAACAGGCATAGTTACATGTATGTACTGATACATGAGTAAATTTTATCAATTCAATCATATAACAAAAAATGCCAAACTTTACGTAGCCTTATAGCATTATAATTTACTAAGCGACGTCAATTTTTAACATGCACTAATAAATACATTCATAACAAATATTTGCTTTTAAGAATAATTTGAATTTTTGATTTAATGCCAAACTTTACATAGATCTTAAAAGATTGCCGAACTTTCACCTTTTTAAAATGAAATATATGAAGTAACATCAATTTTAAAATGTACTGATGAACATATTCATAGTAAATATTTGCTTTTAGAAATAATTTATAATTTTGATTTGATGCATTAATGCGTGATACTCAATTGTATAACAAAAGCTTATTGCTTGTTTCATCGAACAAGCAAAAAAATGCAATAAATCAATAAGATTCCTAAAAGGGAGCTCTTGACAATTTAAAACACGATAATTATAGAAATTGAAACATCAATGAGGATTGAGTTGATAAACTTGATTTGTAGTAATGCATTTAGCAAATGAAAGATTATAAATCTCTTTAAGTAGATGGCTGTGGGCTTTGGCATCAAGCTTTGGGAGAGGAAATCAAGAAGCTCTTTGATGTTAGAGAGGTGTATTAGCAATACTTATTACAGGAGAGGTGATGTGCACCAGCTAGGTGAGTGGGATTGTGGCCGACATTGAATTTTCATGAATGGGAGCTTTGTGCAAGGAGAGGGTTATCTGGGGAAGTCGTTTGTGAGTTCACACTTGAAATGAACCATGCAAGGGAGATAGATTATAACACTGATTACAAAGAGGTTGGGAATTTTAGCTGTTGTTGCGAGTTATGGTGATAAAGTCTGAAGTTAATAGATATAGGTATGCAATTATATTGAACTATTGGGGAAATCATGAAAAATTGCAATTTCAATATTGTTTACCATGACTTTGTTCAAGAGAATGCCTATGCTCATAGATGACCACAACTCTTGATTTTTCCAATCAAAATGTAGTCTTTTTGAGCCAGTGATGCGTTCAAACATTCACCTCTTGGAAGCTTATGCAGTAAAGACTAAAAGCACAATGAAATAATTGAGTCTAAACACTGTGTAATTCATCCTCACCATTTAACTCATATTTTAATATTCTTTTTAGACACTTGTTAGCGTCATTTAGCATTCAAAAGAATTTTATCAATGATACAAGTCGGTTGTATCTATGAATCAAGGCATTGATATACTCCATGATTGTTCCTTCTTTAAAATCCTTTTTTGCAATTGACGTTATGCAGTGAAGACCAAAAGCACAATGAAATAATTCAGTCTAAACACAGTGTAATTCATCCTAATCATCCAACTCATGTTTTAATAATCTTATTAGACACTTGTTGGCATCATGTAGCATTCAAAAGAATTATATCAATGATACAAGATGGTTGTATATATGAATCACGGCACTGATATACTCCATGATTGACTCTTTAAAATCTTTTTTTGGAA